GGTCTCGGATGTTGCTAAACATAGAAGGTGCCCATGTTAACACATTAGTTTTCATTGCTGTGGCAAAAATCCCTGAGGAATGCCACTTAAAAGGGGAAACGTTCGCTTTGGCTCGTACTTCAAAGATTTCAGTTCACAGTCCTGTGGATTCTTGCTCCTGGAACAGCACCAGGCAGAATGCCAGGGCAGGGAGCATGTGACAGAACAAAGCTGCCAGCCTAGGAATAAGGAGATGGGTTTGCGAGGAGGAAGCCTGGTGCAATACGTAGTCCTTGGCGCATGCTCAGTCAGCACAAGCTCCCTTCAACTGGTGCCCTTCTCCAAAGTTTCCTTCACTTCCCCAAAGCCCATCACCTCAGGAGCACAGACTGGACTAAGGAAGTCAGAGCCCTCACCATCTGCTTACTCCTCTAAAGCTGCAATTCCCCAAGAGATCAGAAGAGGGTGTCAGATACCCTGGAATTTAAGTTACAGGTGGTTGTGAGCCACCATGTGGGTGCTGGGAATTGAACTCAGGTCCTCTGGGAGAGCAACTCTTAACCTCTGAGCCATCTCTGGAGAAATGCCTTTTTACCTTCTTTTTGAGTCTTATGGCAATATAGTATTTCACCATTGAACATAATGTCAGCTGTAGTTTTTGTTTATGGTGGTGGTTGTTTGTTTTAAAAACAAGTTGAGGAAGCTGCCTTCCTCACCTAGTACTAAGATTTCTTAGCATTAGTTATTTGTATACTTATTTCTGCTAAAATAAAATTTCTTACACGTAGCACATGCACTATTCACTGGCTACTCTTCCAGAGGATCTGAGTTCAATTCCCAGCACCCACATGGTGGCTCACAATCACTTGTAACTTAAATTCCAGGGTATCTGACGCCCTCTTCTGACCTCTTGGGGTACTGCACACACATTGTGCATAGGTACACCTGAAGGCAAAAAAACTCAGGCACACACAAATACTAAAAAGAAGAAAAAAAGAAGATCCTGTTCTCAAAACCCTTACTCAGTGTCTTGTGGGGGGGGGATTACTATACAGTGTGATGAGGAGGGAAGGTCAAAGGCCACCAATTAAATTCAAAGAAAACCTCTTGTCTAAGATCAGCTACATAGACAATCTCAAAGCATCTATTGAAAACAATTATGGGAACTAAGAAATGAGTTCACATCCAGTGGTGATGGTGGCGCACACCTTTAATCCCAGCACTCAGGAGGCAGAGGCAGGTAGATCTCTGATTTGAGACTGACCTGGTCTACAGAGCGAGTTCCAGGACAGTCAGGGCTACAGAAAGAAACCTTGTCTCGAAAAAACAAATTAAAAAAAAAAAAAGAGTTCAGCAAATTTACCAGATAATGGGTCAATATGCAAAACTCAATTGTATTTCTAGAAAACATCCACTGATAGCAGCACTAGCTAGTGTAACATAAACAGAGAGGTTACAAGGCTTACAGGCTCTAAAAAGCTTAGACAATTATGAGACTCACAAAGCCTGCCTCTGAGGTTCCAGCCACGGTGGCCATTCCAGGAGATGCTGCCGTGCAGCTCCCTACAGGCTGTGCAGGAAGCTCGAGAGTTGCATGGCCCATCTTGGAACAGGCTTCTCAGTGATGCCCCTGCCTGAGGGTCTATCACCATCATCTCCCCCCGACTCCACACCCGTAAGCAACTCCAATAAACTCACTGACTTGTCAATACACATGGGTGGAATCATCTCTTGGTTGTCTTTGGTGCCGTGGAGAAAACAGAAACCTATTCACCTATCCCTAGAAAACGTCCCATGACACAGAGCCTGAACCCAGACAGACAAAAGGCCAAGATGGGGTAAGGCAGAGCAGTTACATGGCCCCTGAGGTGGGTGGCAAGGCTTCATGTAACTAAGGCTGATCTGATGGAGGGCAAAGCCATCATGAGGGTGGTCCCACCGTGACCGCCTTTCCCACTGGTTGCTGAGTTGGCAGTGGTGTGACCTCTGTTGTGAGTGATGTGAGATGTGCCACCAAAGTGGAGCCATCTGTGCGTGAAGCATCCCAGGAGGCAGGAAGACACATGACCCGGTCCTGCTCAGACAGTCGTGCAGAGAAAGAAGTCTGTCTTTCTCCTGGTCCTGCCTTTGGTTTTATCCACTCAGAGAAGCAGAGAGTGTGCCCCCTCTCTATACGGAGTGTCAAGCCTCCTTAATAAGTGGAGGCCACCACACAAACATGGAGATGTGAAATCTATGATTCGGTATATGCACAGGGGCCTTGGTAATGGAAACTACGATAACTGGAAATTATCAACCCGCATCAGAGCTGTTTGAATTGAAGAAGTCTTTTAAACAGAAATGAGAGAGCGAGAGAGAGTCCTTTCCAGCATGGCCCATGAGGTCATGGGTCATGGGGACAGATGGGATCAATCTGAGGACTGTAGAAGTAGAGAAATGGAGTCACATGGCTGCTTTTCCTTTCTTGAGATCCAAGCTATGTGATGTGGCCTAATGTGAGAGACTGGTCCATACGAGCCATTAGGGACACTTGCTTTAGTGCTGGCCATGAGTCCCAGGAAGGACGGGCATTGCTGAGAAAACTGGACACGAGACAGACAGTGTTTGGTTTCCAGTTTCCCTAGCCTGGTAAAGCAAGAGACAGGAGCTAACTCATGGGATCAGTACAGGACTTTAATTGTTATTTTGTTGCAGCCCATGATGGGGAATGACTGTCACAGGCTCTGGGACACTGGAGTGACAGGGACCAGCACGTAAATGGGGTTTTAAGTGCTAAAGAATTCAAGATGAAATGGGGGCAGGGAAGCAGATGGCGGAGCCTGTCTGAGTTTCAGAAGCGAATGTGACAAGATTTGTATTGAATCAGAGTTCCCAGGGGAAAATTTTGGCAGACAACCAAAAGCCTCTGAAAGGTTTTAAAGCCTGGGCAGCAGTTTACCAGGGAGATGAAAGAAGGGGAGAACGGCAGAAAAGTGCAAGTTAAAAAAAATAAGGTTGAGCTTGTCCTAGAGCTGAACAGCGATTTCTCACGGAGAATATACTATGCCAATTTCCCTCTGCCAAAAATGTATACTGGAATAGAGGTGGTGTTGTTTGCACAGCCCAGGGCCCTTCCAACAGTCAGGTGAGGCTGACTGAGAGGCAGCAGGACTAAAACCAGCCTGTCAGGATTGGGGAGCCAACCCCAGTAGCACGCATGGCCATCGAGAACGCAACCATGATGACACACGAGGTAACTCGTGGCTCACCTTTCTCCCCAGTACTTATGAACAGGAATAGCTCATTATGGCTTCACCATGATTTGGTCTCGGGTTTGCACCGCTGACTCGTTGGTCTTAGACCTCTGGACTCAGAATGAATTAGTGCAGAGTTTCCTAAGATCCCAGCTTGTGGATGGAAGGTGCCTGAACTTCTCAGACTCTAGAATCACAGGACTTGTTTGCCAAATAAACCCATAAAGAGATTTCCAGAAAGCTTAATCATTAAGGAACCACAATGGTCACAATGAATTAACACTACATACACGAGTAAGGGTAATTATTTTAATCCAATAGCAAGTACTGGTAAGAATGATGACCAATTAATTCTCTTCTGCTGGTGGAAATGCAAAATGGTGCAGTTTGGAAAATACTCTGTTCCTCAAAAGACTAAATATATAGTTTTTATATAAGCTAATACTCTTACTCCTAGTCATTTATGGGCACAAAAACTTATATTCTCACCAGCTTGAGATAGAAAAATACAGACATAGAGAGATGCCCAGAAACTTCTTTAGATTTGCCCAAAACTCAAAAGTCACATGATTTTCATCTGTTAAACGGATGGACTACGATAGCTCTATAAATTGGTATTTTTCAGTACAAAGGAATGGTCCCCACGAGTCTCGCCCAGTATGTGAAGGGACTGGAGGTGGCCACTGACCCAAGCAAGTGAGGAAAATTTAAAGTCCACCGTTCCTCTTCGAACTACAGAGCATAAGATCATGAGGAGCGAGTGCAATTTTAAACAGATGTGAGTGAGTACTTCCCGTGGCTCCCCTCCCACCATTAAGACAGAAAGAATGGACAGGATAACCAACTTTCACCTTCAACCTGGAAATGGTTTGCTTGTCTGCTCACTCCCAGACAATGCCTGAAGATCAGGTTTCTAACTGGCCTGGATGTGATTGCTGGCAAGGCGTTTCATTAGTAGACATTTCCCCACCAAGCCAAAATTTCAATCAGAGCGTGAAAAAACAAAACAAAACAAAACAAAACAAAATCACTCTACACCAAAAAAGAGATTTCATAGTAATATAATAACTGAATTGAAATCTTTCGTGAGGAGGTTTAACATCAGCAAGGTCAAGCAGAAGCAAAGACCCACCAGCTTAGAGACATATCCCTGACAACTAACCCATCTAAAATTAGAAAGGGAAAGAGAATATACAAACGTAAAGATAAATTATGAGATGTATCTACAGGACAGCCAAGCAGATACTGTTCCGAGCAGAGTCAGGGAGAATCAGAAAGCTTATACAGAAAGAAAAAAGTATTTCAAGTTCTTCCTAATGTCTTTTTTTTTAATTTGAAAAGTATATGTGATCATCAGTTCTAAGAATCTAAGTACACTGCAAAAATGGACAGATCTGAAAGGAGAAGTTGATGGGAACACAAGCGGAAGATGACTTGACGCTCCGCTTTTCACAATGGGTAGAAAAGTCAAAAGCCCAGTACAGTGAGGCATGCCTGTAATTCAGCCCCGGGAAGCAGAGACTGTAAAGAGGTGGAGGCTTCACGCCTGATGGGAAAGCACTCTGCAAACTGAGCTGCATCCCTGCCCAACAGAAAGCTTTAAATGATGTCGTCTCACTAAGCAACAGAAAATCTACTGCTACATGCTCAATACTTCAATTTAGCTGTTTTCCAGGTGACTTTTAGTTTCCTATTTTCTACATTAAAGCTTGAGTAAGCCCATTGCGAACAGGGAGACACCGAGCTCCAGCTGCCAGCTGTACCCCAGTCACAAACAAGGACATCTGACCAGAGAGTAAAAGTTTATTAATCATGGGTGAGTTCAGTTACTATGTATCATTAGTATACATACCCTAGAGGGAGGGCGTCTAGCTGGGATCCAGAAGCAGTAACAACATAGGTGAGAACGGAAATCAGTACAATCAATTTGAGAGACAGAGGCGAGGTTTCTGGGTCCGCAACCACACGTGGATCTACTAAAACCGAATGTGACCTATAAAAAAGAATTAAAGAAATGTCTGATACAACACGATTTGTAAAAAGTCCCAAACTGAAAACTACAGATGCAATCATTTAGCTACCCAGGAATAGCCACAGGTAAGTTCTCCTACAGAATCCTATACACCATTGAGAATGGGACTACAGTCACATGAAACAATGGAATACATTTCCCCAAAGCATTTCAGAGCAGAAGTCAGACCAGGAGGATCTAGCTGGGGCAGATCTAGTTCAGTTGTAGAACCCTTGCTTAGCATGGGTGAGACCCCCGGGCTCTGTCTGCAGCCCTGCAAGAGCACGTTTCAAAGAAGTAACTACTGGACAATTCCATTGATACAAGGTTAAAAAACGGGTACAGGGACTTCTCCTTTAGAAACGCCTGAGGAAATGTCCCTTGTGGGGGAGGGGGGGTATCTTGAGAAAAACACTGGAGACAAAGAATTTAATTCAAAATATTTCCCAAAGAAAGGCAACCAAGGAACATAGCCTACAGAAACGCTGACAGACCACAGCCAGCATTTTAACAGTGCAACTGAACTTCTCAGAATTCCCAGAGGCACCAGCAGGAGAGCCTGGATACTCACAATTACTTCACGAACAGCGTGGGCATGTCCTTTTTTCTGATACAGCACAGGGACTGAGTACCACAAAGAATGTTATAAAATTCATTTTCTTCACATTTTTCCCTGCAAACGCCTTTTGCTAGCCAGCATGTATCAAAAATTCGTCGTATGTAAATATTCATTCCGCTTCTAACTGCAAACAGAAAAAAAAAAAAGAAAAGGTTAATGTGGTAGCTACTGTCTTCCAATGTCATGGATAAATTAGACTTCCGTCACACCATACGTTTTAATAAGAAACTCTACATAACCAGATATATCCATCATATCTATGACTACACACCCCTTGTAGTTGCTTTGGTCTCACCTTTCAGGGGCCCTGTTATAAGCCATTAGCGCCCATGATCCAGAATTACATGAACTACTACTGGTCATTTATATGTACAGGGCAGCACAGTAGGTTCAGCTTGCCGCTATTTTCTACATGGAAAGATCATTCCGCAGAGACTCCATACCAGGAGACACGAACAACTCCCAAGTAGCTCTGGGTTGTCAAAACTTCATTCTGAAGGAAGGAAGACTAATGGCCTAGAATTCTGAAGCCATCAATTCCATCCCAATGTGTCCAATAACGTTCAGGATGACTTTTTGTTAAGAGCCCCGTTACCTGTCCTAGCTTAATTTCAGAGTACTCAGAGGTATCCTATGGGATAATGGGAAAGAAATGGCTTGAAGTACCTAAAACCCATACCTAAGTCTAGCAATGTTAATACCTAGGTGCCCTTGGAAGCCAAGGAGTAATGGATGGGAGGTGGGGGGGAGACAGTTCATGGGAATGGGTGTAGCCCGGGCCATCCCTCTCTTCTATGGCAAGCCTTGGTCTCTCTTCTAGCTGCCAGCACAGAACCATGGATTAGACTTCGATCTGCAGAAAGAATGAATGTGTGCAAATAGTGAATAGTGTATGGTCAAATGCTACTGGTAAGCAAAGTTGCTTGCTGTATGCTCACTAGCAGAGCAGCCATTCTGGAAACAGAGGACTCAAGAGGAGACACAGTGCAGTATCCAGAGTCCTGCCGCACCCAAGGGCAGCAACCCTCTCAGTGTGTTCCCAGGTGTCTGTCTTTTTCATGTTTCACACTTGATCCTTAAGTGGCAACTTTTGAATGTGAAGGTTTGGGGTAGGAAGAAGGAGCTCTCTGGACACCCACAAGCCCCTACGTTAATTACTAAGTGGGAGTTTCTCCATCTTCTCACGTGACTCCCCCCCTGTCCAGAGCAGTTTGGCTACTCATTCTGATGCCCCCCACAGGATCCAACTATGCTACAAAGGAATTTCATGCAGGCTGACGACTAGTTCAGTTTTTAGATTCTTCTCACTGTAACATTTGCCTTGACTTCTAAATAAACAAGCAAGTGTGTGAACAGCCAACCATGAGAGGCAAGCCCCAAGAGTCCTCGCGGAACTGTTTCCCTTCCACCCCATGTCCTGTCTGTGCTGTAAGAGGTTTTTCACTTCATTCTGCCCCATTTCTGCCCACATCCGTCCAGCCTCACTGACAAGGTTCCTAGATGCTCAAGACCCAAATTCAGAGCCAGCTTCTTCTCTAAAGAGAGCCATCTCTTGTTAGTGCCCTTGGTGCCATCTCTTCGTTCCCTGCAGCAACCCACAGCACGCATCTCTGCCCATACTCCTCCTGTTTTTACTTCTGTTCTCTCGGCCCTGCCTTTGTCTCCGCCTTGTCGAGCCTCACACCGCAATTCTGTAAGCGAAGGGATTCGTTTTACCTGGTGGAACACAGCAGAACAAGACCAAGACCACAAGGACCAGCTGTAGGCGCCTCATGACCAAACCGGTGAGCAAAGAGTCAGTTGAGAAGCAGAGTCACTGTATGTGTGGCTTCTGAGACATGAGGACCCGTGTGGCTAGTGAACCTTTTGGAACAAGGACATCTGCTTGCTCCACTGAGCAGCCCAATAAATGCAAGATCTGACTTTGAATACAGCAGCTCGCCACTAACAAATGCTTACTGGCTGCCACTTCTGAGTTACCAGCCCAGTTTACGCTGTGTCAATAGTCTTGTTCAGAGCCCTGCTGGGATTCTGTGTAGCTACCTTTGTGTCTTCAGAGTACACCCACTTAACGAATGCCTAGTGTGTTTTCACCGCTCTAAGTCTCATGTGCTGGGGATGGTTATTTTCACGCTTACACAGTCAAAGCTCGGGTGGGAGTTCTCCCCTTTGGAAAAACGAGTCTTCTGAATTGTCGCTGGAAGAGATGGCTTCACCGAGTTCATGGAAATCATCACTGGCAGCAGCACATTGTACAAACTGCCTGGCCCGACCTGATTCTAGCCTGGTTGCAAGCTCTTTAGAAAACAAGAACTCCCCCAAAGGGGCCAGGATAACCTGCATAGTACCACCAGCACGATCCCAGAGAACACGGAGCCACGGCCTCCTACTGACCTCCTACGTGCTTAGGCATGCGCAGTGTGAGGTACGCACAGGAAGTACGATAAAAATGTCTTCTTTGACGACTGAGGGTCAACAGGGCTTGGCAGCTTCCAAGGTGTTTAACAAAAGCTGAACGGTCCTGTGTGAAGGCCAAAGATCCCTTAAGGCACAAAGCTGGGCACTGATCTATACAAGTTTTTAATAAGGCATTTCATCTGGCTGTAGAGCAGGTTATATATCAGGGGTCTATCTTCCTGGCCCAGAGACTTTTGAGAGCAAATGAAGCAATTGTCATGAAAAAAATCCTTGCGAGCTGTACATCTAAGGGACCAGTAAGGCCATATAACAAATAAAGACCTTTAAAACAGAGGTGACACACCTTCAACTAGAGAGCAAAGAGCCGGCACTAGAAATCCCTCTTCCATCACTGACCTAGGGCTGGCGCTATAGCTCAGGGTTAGAGCCCTTGCCTCAAATGCACAACATTGTAGGTTTGACCCCAATATAAATAAGTAAATAAACAAGCAAACAAACAAATAAATTGCTATAGCTTTGCCCTATGTTTTGTCTACCATGGTAGATGTGCATAGATGATGTGGCTTGAAAGAAAACAGCCCCCAAAGGAAGTAGCACTATTAGGAGGTGTGGCCTTGTTAGAGTAGGTGTGGTCTTCTTGGAGGAAGTGTGCCCCTGCGGAGGTGGGCTTTGAGGTCTCATATGCTCAAGATACCGCCCAGTGTTAGATCACTTCCTGTTGCCTGCAAGTCAAGATGTAGGCGCTCGGCTACTTCTCCAGCACCATGTCTGCCTGCAAGCTACCGTGTCACACTATAATGATAATGGACTAAACCTCTGAGAATGCTAGTCAACCTAATTAAGTGCTTTCCTTTATAAGAGTTTCCATGGTCATGGGATCTCTTCACAGCAATAGAAACCCTAATTAAAATGGATAGAGAGATGACAGGAGGATGACGATAGATAGATAGATAGAAGAAAGGTAGGTAGATAGATAGATAGATAATAGATACATAAATAGATAGATAGATAGAAAGGTAGGTAGATAGGTAGATGATAGATAGATAGATAATAGATACATAAATAGATAGATAGATGAAAGATAGATAGATAGATAATAGATACATAAATAGATAGATATACAGACTGACAGACTGACCACCCAACCACTTCAGTGGGCTCTTGTTTTCAAATTCCATAAACCTTATAACATGGCATGGGTTCATATCTGTGAAAGATTCATGAGAGACCTACAAAGCAGAAAATCAGCAAATAATGAACAGGAGACGTGAGTTCAGAGGAACCTAAAGGGTCACATGATCACAATGCTGTGAGAGACACTCCTAACGAGCATGTTCCAACCAGAAGCACAGCCAGGTTTTCTTTCCCATGGTCCATAAGGTTTCTGATCTCCTCTCCCCCAGCCAATCACCTTGGCCTCCATTTCAGCTGTGCCCTACAGAATCCCGACTCCACTGGACACATTCTTTGCCCTTCCATCTCCGAGTTAGTGTTTCTGGGTTCTCTGGGGGCACCGTTTCTGTGCACAGCTACTGTTTAGAAGTAATCCACCTTCTGGGGCATCACAAGTCATGGGACAGGCAAGTAGCTTCTTTCGATCTCCTAATGGCTTCCTGCCCTCCCACAGCAGTACCTTCTGTGAAATGGGTACCTCCTTTCCCTCTTCCTGCTCACACTGGGTACATCATCACACCTTACCAGGCTTACCTCCAACATACAGTTCACACCCATAGACTGTTCTTCATCTCCACTGCCGCCTCTCAATCCCCTGAAGTCATCACCGTCTGTCACTAAACTAAGTGACCTTCTACCTTGTCTCGTGTTCCATGTTTAGATAACTACCATCCATCCTCCACTCAGTAACTGAAATAGCCTTTATAGAAACCTGATCGTGAATTTGCCTGGGTAAAGCTCTTCAGTGGTTCCAGAGTGAGATCCACTAGCGCGGACAACTAACGCGCGCTGTCCTGGTTTGCTTCCTGATGTCGTGATAAAGCACTACGACCAAAAGCAACTTGAGAAGCAAAGCATCGGTTGGGCTGATCCATCTCAATTATAGTCCATCACCCAAGGGAGCCAAGGCAGGCTGCTGAAGGCAGGAACTCAAACACAGACCAGACAGGAAAGCGACGGCTTGCTCTCCACAGTTTGCGCGGTTTGCTTTCTTCTACACCATCTGCCCAGGGATAATAGCCCCCACAGTTGGCTAGGTCCTTCCACATCAATTATCAATCAGTAAAATGCCACCTAGGCCAATCTGATGGGAGCATTTTCTCAGTTGAGGTTTCTTCTTCTCAGATGAGTCTAGTTTCCTTTGGGGATAGAGACTAGCACAAATGTGCTTATTTGGAAAGGTTGTAATGGAATGATTGACCCATAATTAATACATGCTAATAAGGACTAAATAAAATTCCATTATGGTGTGTATCAGCCATGTTTTTTTCTTGTTATTGTTGTTGTATTTTTTTTTTTCATTTTCTACTACCTGACAAATCAGGTTATTTATTGCATTCTAAGTACTGTCTACAGGGCTGGCAAGATGGCTCCATGGGTGAAAATACTTACCTGATGCTGAGGACCTGCACTTGAACCTTGAATCCTACGGTGGGAAGGAAAGACTTTCTTCCATAGTTGTCCTCAGACCTCCCTTCTCTGGCCACGGCGTGTGTGCTTCCACTCAGAGGCTCACACACAATGATAATAAGATATTTCTAAACGGATATACTGTGTATAGAAGAAGAGTGGATAGAAAGATGTTACTTTGAATTTGATTTTGTTCACTTCTGACTTCTGGTGCAGCAAGGATGGTGATGGAGGTGAGGCTGGGCCGGCGGAAATGTGTTCAATAAACTTCCAGTACTGTTTGTTTTCAGCCATTTCCGTTTGGGGATTTTTTATTTGTTTTGCATCTCTTTGCCTCGCTTATACAACTTAATTAAGTTACAGCAACTTAAATTGCCATGAATAGGGCAAGTGATGTCTTCTTCCCTCTGTCTATCAATCGCCTTCCAGTTTCTTCAGGCAGACATGGAGACTAAGCAATTGGTCTCCAAACCCCACAGATGTTTAACCTTCATCTTCTTTCCCCTCTAATCCCAGGCTTTCCATCTGGAATTTGGTTCACTCAGGCTTTTTTCCCCCCCAAGACAGGGTTTTCTCTGTGTAGCCCTGACCATCCTGGAACTCACTCTGTAGACCAGGCTGGCCTCGAACCCAGAAGTCCGTCTACCTCTGCCTCCCAAGTGCTGGGATTAAAGGTGTGCTCCACCGCTGTCCGGCTCACCAGGGCTTTCTTACACCTCCTGCTCTTGGCTAATTGATAGAAAACTGATTTTTATTTTGCTAAAGATTGCCACTAAAATGCAGCAAAGTTCTTTTGCTAGATGGCTTGCAGGATCTTCTTTAGTTTCTTTGTTAGAGATAGTCCCTGACTTAAAATAGTTTGATTTATAATTTTTAACTTTTTGCTACAGTGTGAAAGTAGTATGAAGATTTGCTGTAGGTTTTTCATTTTTTTTAAATTTTTATCTTCTTCAAGGACTGTATGGTACAATACTCTCAGGATGCGGGCAACAGGTCCCAGCAGCCACACAATCACAAGAGCAAACTACCTCTATTTGACACAATACTCTCTTGCTAGGTTATTTGACAGGTTATGTATATTAAATGCCTCTTTAACTTACAGTATTTTCCACTTATGACGATTTTTGTTACTATATAAGTCCATCTCAAGTTGAGGGGCATCTGAAGAAAGACCACTTAAGATTAGTAATGTTTGACTTACCTGTTTCCACACAGAACGTTCTCAGCTTCTGAGTGGTTACTAGACGAGGAAGAATAGTAAAGCTGGGATTGGAGAGTTCAAATCCCTCCCCCTTTTTTTTCACCTAACCAGGAATTTAGGCTCAGGATTCTTCCTGAGCCTAAATTGAGTACTTGAATTAGGCATGCTGAGTGAAGGCAGCGGAAAGCTCGCCAGGTCAGCGGTTCACTTAGGCGGTGCGGGGTGCGGGAACGTTTCCCGGAGCAGCTCCCCTGAGGATGGCACAGTTGGTGTGATTAAGTTAGAGAAGGATTCTGTGGGTGAGAGGCACGGGGGAGAAATACAAGGGAGGTGTACCAACATGGTCTTCATCCGGTACACTGCTCTTCTGATCAAAAGAAGCCGTGTCCATCCTTCGTAGCTGAAAAACGGGCGGCCGTTCATGGCAAGATACTAAAGTCACCCTATCAGTCTCTTCTGCTACGGGGGTTAAAACACTAAGAAACTGAAGAAATAAGAAAACGGCATCTGTGTACCTGAATTCGAACTCGTTCCGTCACCTCCGTGTGACTCATCACATTTCCTGGAAGCTCGTTATTTTACATCCAATGGTGTAAAAGCAATGGTAAAGCGAGGTTATAGCGCCCTCGTGTGGTTGTAGCGACTATTACATGAGATCATTTCTACGTCAGAGACGGGGAGACGGATGGCTCAGTGGGTGACAGACAGCTCTCACGGTGCAAGCCTGATGACCCGAATTTACATCCTCAGAGCTCATGCAAAAGCCCAGTGTAGTGGGATTTCTAATCCCATTATTCCTGGCAAGATGATAGGCGGAGATAGGTGAATTCCCTAGACACCCAGAGGCCAGCTAGCCTGGAGTACGCAGAACAGTGGAAAAACAAGAGGTATCCTGCCTCCCGATACGCGCTGTGGTATGTGCACACTTAAATCCCCCCTTCCACACACACATACACACCTATACATACAAAAGATTTTAGAATGTCTATGTAACTGTAAGAAACTTAATCTAGTAAGCATGTGGGAATGATAGTTATTTCTGTTATTATTATTATTATTATTATTATTAATTGGTGACAATCAGCAACCAATATTTTGATGACTCATACACTTTTTAAATAATTGTAGCCTTCAATAGATGCAGAGATCAAGAAATAGAACATCTACAAGGAACAAGGAGAAGGGGGAATCCTTAGTAATTGTTGCTGCCTTCCTCTAAGGCAGCCTTTGTCCTTCATCCTTCTGCACTGACGTGCGCACGACTGTGTGTGGAACATGTGAACCTCCTCTCCACTGACACACTTGCACATGCTCACACTTACACTCATACTCACACTTCCACCACCAGCGCCTCTTACATCACCCATCAGAAAGCACTAGTGATCCTGACCCAAGTCTGCTTCGTGAAATGCTCGAGAAATAAGGCTCGGCACTCCGAATTATACAGCAGCTTACTTCAATGTTACCCAGAAGGAAGTGGAGCCACGTGCCTGTCACTGCCTCCTGCGACACGGTGTTACACACACTAGTATTATTACGTGACTAGGGCTGTGGGTGTGTCGAGTTAAATACTCGGTTACATTTTTGCCAAACTCCTGAAATTTTCACTTTGATTCTCCTTTCTTTCTTTTTAAAATTATTTTATGCTGTTTTCAAGATGGCTTCCTCTATGTAGTCCTGGCTGTCCTAGAACTCTCTGTGTAGACCAGGATCTGGGATTAAAGGCTTGTGCCATTACTCCTGGCATAGGACTTAGCCTCTTGGTCTTTAAAATCAATGGTTGAATTTATTGTCTTCTCTTAAGTAATCCTGAGCTCTGGTAGAAGGCTGTGAGCTTGCCAACGTCAAGCCAACCCCCAAAGTTCACCCTTTGGGTCCTCTGTAGACCCAAGGACCCAAACGGACCCCCATAGATTCATTTCAGAAGTCTATTTTAACAGACCTACGCTCTAGACCCAACCCTACAGGCCCGAGAACAAAAACTGCACACTTGCTGTCCCAGAGACCAGGCCTGCCCACGTGAGATTCCCAAGGGCGCCTGTACCTGCGTGCCTTCACTGCTGTCTGGTGGAGCCCTCTCACAGGCAGAACTGTTGGCCAAAGACAAGAATAAGTTCCACTTCACATGTTCAGGTGCTAGCATAATGCATACAACAAACCTGATAAACCAAGGAGAAATAAACACCGCACACACATACACACGCGTGCACATCTCCCAGTAGCTGACTCAAGGAAATGGAGATGTATCAGTTCTCTGTGAAAATCCCTAATTAATTGTTCCTTGAAAGCTCATTGAGCCTGAAAAAAATACAGAAAAATAGTTTGAGGAAATCAGCAAAATAAAGGAATAGAATGACTCAAACTAGAAATTTAGAAGGGATTATAATTGTTTTGAAACAACAGAAGTCCTGGAGTGAAAAGGATCCAATGAATAAAACTGAGACAGCAGGCATTAGCCGCAGAGCCGGAAACAGAGGCACCTGAGGTCAGGGAAGAATCACTAAGAAACACACTGTCAGGCAGAACAAGGAAAACTCGCCCAGTAAATGGTCAAATGTTTCCTTTTGTCAGAGAACAATTTTATTTCCTGATACACCCAGTTACCATTATTAAATCGCTCCTCCAGGACTCAGTGGCTTGGAACTAACTGTGTGTTAAAGAATTGCCCTAATTTCTTAAACTGGATGTGGCCACTGTGTATCGAAATACAGAACTTCATCAACGCTTAAGATGAGCAAAAATAAAAAGTTTCTGTCTGTGATAACAGGCAGCCAGGCTGCTCTTTGAGTTGGAGGGGGAGGCAGGGGCATGCTCGTGGGTCATAAATTAGCTAGACCAACTGGCCAGGGCCCTCTCATCTCCTTCTCCTAGCACTGGGAAAGTGCCATTCATTTAAAACAAGATGATATATATATATATATATATATATATATATATATATATATATATATACATCAACATATATATGATGATATATATATTGCTTTAAGTAAGTCTTGTCATAACCAAAAACATTAAGCATCTGGGACAAACAGAAAACATAAAGAGAAACATAAAGAGGAAGCAATCAATGCATATGGTTACCACCAGCAACTAATTAATTAATTAATTAATTTTAAAAAAAACAGACCACAAAGGAAGGGGGAAAAATGAATGACAAAATATTCAGGAAATAATTAATAAAATGTAGTGGTATTCTCCAAAATTCACAAACTTCTTGTGTTCAGATTCCTCTTCTGTTCTGTATTCATTTAGCTTCACTAGCTTCTTGTTGTATATAATAATTCGCTTAGGGCAATCACTGGGATCTAGTAAGGAACAAATCATGAAAGACCCTAAATGGGACTGATGTAAACAGGAGAGTCTGAGCTCCGTCTCTCACTTGCAGGAGACCTAGAAAGAAGTCTAAATGGCTGTCACATTAAACAGAGAACATCCCGGGGCAAGCGATCCTCACTCCACAACGCTTAGTGACCAGCAGACTATTGGACCCAGGGAGGAGCCCTCCTGTCTTTAAGACAACACATGCCATGGAAATGTCCTCTGGTCATCAGATAATCCTCAGAATTAACTGGAACACTACAAAATCAGGGTAAGAAATGCAGACTTCAAGACTATCAGTTTTGGGGACCATTGCCAGGATAGGAAGCTGGGAAGCAGTGGAGAGGGGAATAGCAGGGTACAGTGATCTGATGGGGAGGAATGGGAAAGGGGGCTCTTTAGGGAGCAAGAGGAAGGGAAGGCTGTGTTGGTTTGTCAGTTTCGTTTTTTTTAAAGCATCCTCTACCCATGGCTTTGCCAGTCACAAGCATAAAATTCTCCATGTTTCTATCTCCACAAGCTACTACATAGTCCCCTCTCCCACCAGATAACAGAAGAATACATAAACCCCTTAATGAGTGTTTCTCATCAGGAGCTGGTATGGCATTTCTATGAACCAAACCTATAGACCTGGTTTCTGTTCATCTAACCCTTGATGTGTTCTAAGGTAGTTTTTAAAAAGATAAAAATAGAGAGACAGACTCTGGATTAAGATGGATAAGGTAACACGTCCCCCAGGGTCCAGCCACTCTTCTCCAGATGCTGGCATCTCCAGCCATTCCTACACACATCCTAACTTGGGTATTATCATTGTTCTTATTAACAGTTCCACAGGCTGGAGCCCTTCTATGTGAGATCCTGCATGGGCGTTGTCCTAAGAGCTGATGGAACAACTGAAAAGTCCCTCTATCTCCGTCAGTTCTGGCCTCTCCCTACGCGCATCCTGCACAGAAGTGCTCAGGAGGCATAAGCAGACAGGAAACCGACCTCTCCACTTCCCCCGTAATGTGCTCTGCCTGCATCTGTGGGGATTTCACCATAGTCTTCTCTACTTGACTCCATCAGCCTCAGCAGCCTCACCTGTAAGAGTGTCCCGTATCCTGTGACAAAGAAAGCCTGTTCACACCCCATACTCTTATGCCGTGTTCCAGTGGATTTGCTGAGGATTCTTGGGGTCACCCCTTTCTGGACTTTCTAGAATGTTCCCTTCTACGTAGTCTTCAAGATTTTGTTCTGGGCATAATCACCTTCGGAGATTCTTCCCTGCTTCTCCCTAAGTGTAATATGTTGCCCTATAATATTTCATTAAAACTAGCATATGTCTTAACTAACTATATTAAAATTATAACCTTGGGAGCAACAAGATGGCTCGATGGATAAAGGTGCTTGCTGTCAGGCCCGGAGACCTGAGTTTGATCCCAGGAACTCACATTGCTAGGAGAGAATTGACTTTTGAGAATTGTTCTTTGACCTCCACGTGACACTGTGGCATGCACATGTGAGCGACTGTACCCAGGCATGTGCGCGAGAGCACGCGTGCGCGCGCACACACACACACACACACACACACACACACACACACACAAGTACATTCACAAATAAATAAAATTATAACTTTGTGTAAGACTTTTCTAGCCATGTCACTGGAAGGGTCTCTACACCTCTGGAAATACAGATTACGAACTGTAGAGTGGCCCAAACACTGACCCCATGGAACTGAACCAAATCTTCTCCCACTCTCTGGAGCATTTGCCTTCATCCGCTCTATTAGCTCTTCCTTCTCACACATCTATAATGAACCTCATCTTCTTACGTTTTTCTACATCTGCTCTGTGTCTCATTTATCGCAGAAGCTGGGTCTAAGAAGAATGGGTCAGGGGTCCCTTCAGACATGTAACTAAGGCTGACAACTCAAGCCAGATTCCCATCCGGCACTGTGGAGCTGCCCCTTCTTGTAGCCCCTCGTCATTCCCAGAAGTCCAAGGAATAAGCACAGCCTTGCTTGATACGCTTGTGCTAAGAGCTCTGAGAACAAGGGAGATGTTAGAATGTCCATGGGAAGCATAGGGCACTGTGGACACTTGGCAGGAGCCAAGAAAAGCAGCCCTGAGCCCTGGGGACTCCTGGGCAGCTATCCCAGGGTATGAGCACATGAAACCTTGAAAGCAAGCACCAGGGACTTTTTTCCTCTTATCAAAGGCAATCATGGTTTCATCTGGCTACACAATGCCTCAAGGCAGCTATGCTTCCTGGACACTTGGACAACCAG